GCGTGTAATATTTTTTCTTAGGTGCAGACGTTGTTCTTTCCACTTTTTTGTTTCCGCATTTGATCCTGGTGTAGAAAAGTTTTATGGCCCTTGTTCAAAACACAAAGGGCTAGATGAGTTTTTTATTTCCTCACTAATAAGCTATCAAAGATATCTATCAGGAACATTGACCGAATCTGCAACACTGTTCTTCATTCTGCAAGTTGATCATAAACTATCATTATTCGGAAAACAGTACTAATTTCAAACGTAAGAATAATGCTGCGCCCACGTCCCACGCCGTCATAAAGAAAATGCGCGCGGTCGTCGCATGCTAAAACATAATTATCCGTTCAGAAAAGAACATACTCTGCAATTTTTCTTCTAGTGAACCGATAGGATCAAACGCAATCGTCAACGCTAAGGACCCTTGGCGACCGCAATACGACTCTAACAGTATTACAGCACGAATCCACGGCTAGGGCCGAAAAGGGATGTAGTAAAAAACGTCCCGTTTTGGGGACACGCTTCGGAGCAGCATTTCATCCTCATGATGTTCATGCGGTCAACAGCACGTGACCGTGAACGACTACCTACACTTGATTATCTTCGAACAGAGGGGGTAGTGTCAAGAGACGTGGAATTGAACCCACCGGCGACATTTCTATCAATGCTTATTCTCTTCCTCTAGCGATCTCAAACCGAACAGTATTGACAATTGTCCTGCAGGACACGGGCTCATCCTTTTTTCTACTGACCGCCGCGAGTGATTGCGACACATCAGCAACACACTCCACACCCTTGAAGGCAGAGAATTTTTATTCGATGTTTCCCCAACTTCTTCAGATACTGTTACCCTCTAAAAAGATTGGAGGACTTACTATTGCTGAAAAATAGCTGAAAAAGGAGCGCACAGCACCACTCGCTCGTGAGGACACTGCCGCCCCGCCCACCTGACTCCACAACGCCCAACGTTCATTTTTAACTGTTGCGACTGGTGCGTCGGTATATTCCGGCTATTCTCTCGTCTTTGACGGTGAGGGTGAGGTAATGAGAAGGAAGAATTGGCACCATCAAGTAAGAACTCGTACGACCATACCCTTTCTTTGACTTATGTACGCACAGCCTCGTTTCGGCATGGTACGTCACTTATTGTTATAAGATTCCCCATTTTTTTTCAAGTTTCTCTCCATTATCGCGAGCCTCAGATTATAACCTTGTTCTGCTGCCTGAGTCGGCATAAACTCATAATTTTCAAACGCGAGCCCAGCCTTGCTCAATAACGAACAGTAGACTGAGCACGGCGTAGGACGGGATATTCTTCGGGTATAATAGGAATTGGACTGTGAGGGTGTCGGTTATGTGACATCTCGAACTTTGCCACGTGATCCTGCCGCGGAAACTGTAACGCCCCACACCAAAGTATCGAAACAACGGGTCCACCAGCACAGGGGCTTTCGAACGGGAGGTGGTCATGCGATGGGTCAGCCCAACAAAAAATTTTCATGTGTGAAAGGTGCGATTGTGTGAAGCCAAATATGACGACAAGAAGTCATGGAGAGTGGAAGAGAAAAACAGGAAAGTCAGCGATTCAAAAAGGATTAACCCTCAAAGTGTCAAGTTCAAGAACAAGTAAGTCTGCCGTGCCGCAATATAAATTTTTGCCGCATTCAGCATAGACAAGCGTCTTCGGATTTTATAGCGCAGCGCTCTGTTGAATATTTTCCAGAAATTTCCTGGAAATATTCAATCAGAGCGCTGACTTACTGAAAATTTTCTGTACAAACTACCTCAAAATAGTAGAGAAATTTTATGAAACCTTGAAAACTAGATGCTTCTGACGATCGAGAGACAGATTCTCAAAACGTCAACTCAAAGCATTTCTGATGCATTTTTCTGGCCCCGACTGCTTCCACACTCTTTCGATATTATCACTCTTAAAATCTCGATTTGGCTAGAAATTAGGCTCCAGCAACGTTCATCCTTACGGATATAGCATTTTTTCCTTCTTTTAGGACTCCTAACTCATACGCATACGCATAAGCAGGCTGCCCATTATGCATTAGTTCATTACAAATAAATGAAATGAATAGTGTGAAAAATTTCACTAAAATATGCGCCTAATTTCTTGTGATAAGGCGCACCGATTGTCCTCGCAACATCGGAACGTTTGCCTCAGCGTTTACTCTGAGATTTTTTTCTCTTACCTGTTGGGGTGATTAATTTTGATATAATAAGGGTTCTAAAATGTAAACTGGAATTTGTGAGAGTGTGCAGCTGTAGATGAAAAAGGTTCCTGCAAATCAGGAATTTTCCTGCGCCATTTATTGCGACACAGCAAAAAATCCTGATATATTCAGATAATAGGGTCTTGATGGATGCCCTTTCTGTATTATGATAGCTGTCGAGCCCACTTTTGTGATATTTAACCTGACTGTACTGAAAAAAAATCGGAACATTGACAGCGCGTCATGTGACAAAAGTCTTGAGTAACCCTCGTTAAATTCGCAGGGTCCTATATCAAACTTACGGAACCGCCGACCTCGAGTTTCACCGCGTCCATCTCTCCAGACAGATTTTGAGTGCGACAGGGTGGAATGTCATTTCCCGCGTCGCCCAGCACTTGACTTATCGAGATGGAAAACTCGAGTACAACGTCACTACCATGGCGGGAGGGTTGAGTCTTTGTGTGCATGGTGCAAACGTTTCCTCTGCAAAGCCTTTTTCGCTGCGCCCCCTGTGCTGAGAAGTACCAAGCCCGATAGATAGCCCGCGATTAAAAGCACGGTCCGCGATAAAAAACCTTGGTGATTTTGCGGAAATGTAGAAGAAAATGCCAATGCGAAACCATCTATTGAACGATCAAAACAGCTGCTCAAAGGTAAAAGACGAAAAGACGCGCGCTGGACAATTCCCGGTCGCTTGTCCCTATAATGACCATACATCCACTCCATGATACTTGCCAGGGAGCTTTACTTTTGGCTGAAAGGCCGACTTTGGAGGCGGAGTCTGGAGGCGGAGTCACTGGAAAAAGGGATGTACCACTGAAGCAACTTTGCGCCTTAATTCCTTTACCGTACAACTTTCCGCCGCGAAACTGGCACAGGGTTGTCCACTCCGGACCGCACTACCTTCCCGCATAACTTCTTGCGTTTTCATAGGTCATCGCGGGCCGCTCCTTTAAGTAATCCGGTCGTCGGCCGGGATCAACTGCTTGGCTTTAAAGCATGAAGCAGCTGTTGTTTTCGGAAAAATGTCGAAGTTCGCCAAGTATGGCTGTCAATAAACCTCGGCCATCCATCCATTCAAAGGATGGGATTCAAAGGGCATTCCTAAAAACTGTGACCTGTGAAATAAAAAGAAGCACTAAAGGGTGCCTGATCGAGGAAATGATGAGAGATCGAATAATTCGAATTTCCAAGAAACAACAAAAAGATTCAAGGCTCTTTAGAAGAGAGTTCAGAGGACAACTTGAAAGTAGTGGAGGGATTGGACTGTGGTCAATTCTGACAGAGGGATTAGAGTTCAATGAGCAATTACTTTTCTGAAATTCTTCTTACTTGAAGTTTCACAAAAAAAATGAACGCCACCTGACGACACGTCCTTTTCTGGTCGTTTTTCCTTCGTTTTATCACTTTCGTTTCCAATTTATATTAGGACTGACTTTCATTTATTTTCTGTCGCATCACTGTTCTGAAATTTGACAAAAATGAACGCTCACAGCTGACAGGCAGCTAGGTTTCGCTCAGCACAAAAATTATCCCGTACGATGTATTATTCCGGATGGATGGTGTGAAGACAGCAGAAATGCGTTGGAAAATTTGAAGAGGAGATATCAATTTGCAGGAATTCCAAGTCCATCTGGGTCTGTTAGTACCTGTACGGGAGCTCTTGCTCTGGTGACTCATCACTACTAGTGCTGAAATATGGGACTGGCTCAAGCGAAATTTGATCCAGACGAGGCGCGAGTAGTGATGCTGTTTGCCACGGCGCATCCTCGTTGTTGATACTTCTAGTTTAACAAAGCACGCCTGGTTTAGTGATGACCAGTCCAGAGACGAATGAAGTCTAGGCTGCTTACTTTTTCATCGGGGGATCATTCAGTATTAATAAATACAAACTTTTAGAGTAAGAATTCTACATGGTGGCAAAAAGCTACGTGAGCCTCGAAAAGCCTTTAAGTTTCATTCTTTACCAAAATGCACTCGAAAACAATCAGCCACAACATTTTACAATCATAACGACTTATTGAAGTGCAGAGGCGAAGGCGATATAGTAGCTTACCATGCTTACCATCGGTCTTGGGTTCATATCCCTGGTTGACTCGCGCCCATGCTAACCAAGCTTTGTACCCTTCGAGGACGGTAAATTTGTACCAGATTTCGTCTGGAGGATAAGAACACTGACTTGTACATCGGCCCCGCAAGTCATTGTATAGGCCACATCGCATTCAATAAGCCACTACGATTCTGAATGGAAGTAGAATGCGTGCCGCATCCCACAAAGGGATTGATCAACGGCGAAGACTTTATCCTTTATCCTTTGGTTGCCATTATCTTTGATTCGAGCGTTCAATTCGCTTCTTCATGGAACAGTGCGCCGCAGGAAGGTAACGTCTCGATCGTTCGCAATTTTGATCAGTTCTCTTCTCAAAGACCGCAGGCTCTTTATATTTCGAATCCTAAGCTGCTCTTCCATAAATGCCCGAGCAGAAAAGTCCAATGGGTCCAGGTTGTTCGCTGACCATAAATCCTTCGTTGAAAAAGAGCTGATATCGGTCTCCAGGAATGGATCTTTACTTAGGCTGGAGTTCCAGTATCGCCAAAAGATAAAATTGGGACGTTCCTGTTTCCAGGGCTTTCTTGAGGATTTCTACTTGGTAGATTTGCATTTGTTCTTGCGTTTTTAACGGCAGAAATCAAAAACTACTAGTTACATAGTAGCGAAGAACTGCCACAAGGACTCTGTTTACTAGAACTACTAGTAAACAGAGTTCTTGTGGCAGTTCTTCGCTACTATCGTTATCGTTTACTATCGTCTACTATCTTACTATCGTTCTTGAGAACTGAACCAAAAAGTTAATGGTGACTCTAGGAGTTTTTGGCCACTTCAACAATAAAAGCTTTTTTTGCCAGACCAGAGAACGTCCTCAATTCGTCGCACCTTGGCAAATTTCTTGTAATTTCTTGCATTTGCCTAGCCAGTCTAGCTTTGCTTGATCAATAGAAACTGGTATGTTGAACAGACGATAACTTCGAAGTCTATTCTCATTTTTTACTTCGATATGAACAGATTTGCCAGAAATACTGAGCTGCTTGACTATTTTTTCAGTCTTAGATCATCTTTTCGGTCAATCCTTGATAGCCCCGCACATCCGGCTTGTGCTCATGGTCCGTTTTCGTCCATTTCTGGGTTTGGCTCAAACGTGTTCTTCCCTTTTCCATTGCTTTACAATCCTCTAGACGGTTCTTAGAGGAATTCAGTGTTTCAAAGAAAATGCTGAGCTCTTCATTCCATTAACTGCACCGTGTGAGAAGTAGTATGGCTCAACACAACGATCAAAATGGAGTCAGATATCACCCGCACGTAATTTTTCGCCATGCTGTATATATTGGCACCTCTTTGGATGACACCGCAGGCGTAACCCCGCGGTAATGAATGAGCAATCAAGTATGTACCTCAGATAACTCCGTAGGCGCGGTGCACCACTTTCATCCCTCAAAGGCAAACCCGCGACAATAGATTGCTGGTAACGGTGCTCAACTAAAGTG